ATCAAGCATAACACGTAAAACATAAAATTCAGTTAACCACATCAATTCCAGCTATTGTTGATTCCAAAAGATAGATTTCTACAAAGATCCTTTCTTATGAGATCTGCTCATTAAGAATAGCATCCAAGTCCAACCAATTCATCAACACATAATAACAAGAAGAATCAAAATCAATAGTTTGTCAACAAGTAAAAAAAATTCAATTCAATCACCATAATAATCCACAACCAATCTATAATCAAGCAAAGCATTTACACCAATACCACCATTAATGTCTCGAATCTCCATTAAAATAAAAAACCCAATTAATCTTACACAGCCAAATCTACTACTCTGATCTCTCCCTTTCAGTAGAAACATATAACTATATAGCAATTTTACAAATTAAAAAACAACACACACATACATAAATAGTGATATTATACATTACGCCACTAAATTATGCTTCTAAGCAGATGAAAGAGAAGGGTTTTTTGTATTCAATTTGAGTTTCCTTATTCGTAAAACATCACAATCCAAACCGCAACCGCACTGTGGAGAAACAAAGAAACTATCTAGCGGAAAAGAAGCTGTAGTGACCCCAACAGAGAAATCAAGATCATGGCCTTTTCTAACAACTTCAAGAATGTTGACCCAGAAGAATAAGACTTTGACGCTTATACCCCTAAGATCGGTAAGTCTGTTATCAGTTATGCGACCTGTGATTGTTGAGTTGTAACTCAATTGATAGGAATCTTGTAAGGAGAATATGCAGGAACCGTTAAGATCGGCGCGGAAATCGCCGCTTGATTCGTTGAGTTGGTAACCGGTTACGCCTTGTGGGAGGATTCCAGGTGGGAAGTTAAAGGTTCGTATGGCTTCGTAGGCTGTCGGTGCGGAGGAGACGGTTAGGGCCGCCGCGAGGAGGAGGAGGGGGACGGCGAGGTTGGTCATACGGTGCGGTGTTTTCTTGTTTTTTTGGGAAATGGGATTTGAAATGGATTGTGTTGGGGGTTTGGGATTGGTTTGGGTAATGTCGTTTTTAATTTGTGAAATGGATGAAACGACAGCGTTTAAGATGATAAGGAGTGTTGGGTTGGAAGTGGGGACACGAGAGTTGTTGGTGGATGGACGCTTTGTTGTCGTTGTTTTGTTTCGGCTGGATTCTTTATTGAGATTTATGATATCGTCATTTTCACTTTCCACGTGAAAAATAAAAAATCATTCATGTTTGCAGTGCAACTGTTTATTGTCTTAAATATGCAACTAACAAAACTCTCTGTTTATTTTTATTTGCTTTATTTTTATAAGAGTAATGTTATTTAGTAGGAAAGAATTTTAAAATAATGAGAATATATTTATATTATTAATTTAATGAATAATTTTTAATTTATTATGTTAAATTTCTTTTTTAATAGAGATTATGGGATTGTGATAAGGAATAGTTGATTTTTTTTTTCTCGTTTTCATTTTTTCTTATAAATAAACCTTTTTTTATATAAAAAGGTAATATTGGATTTCCCATAATCACTTCCTAATTTTTTATTTTATTTACTCATGTTACACCTAATCACATCGTCTATAAAAAGTAATTATGAGAATAATTTTTTTTTTATTAATTAATATAATTTTATTAATTATTTGATTACGGTCTCCAAAGAATTGAACTCTTTTTTCATTAAAAAATTAGCCAAACTCTTTATTTCAAACAAAGTATTCAAAATTAAACAGGATATATCTACAAATTTAAAATTCAAAATTAGACTGGTATCAAACTAATGTATATGTGAATTTAAGATTTTAAGATTAAATTGAGTTTTTTTTTTACAAAAAAGATTAAATTGAGTTAGAATAAAATTATCTATGAATTTAAGATTTTAGATGAATTGGTTATAAATAAATAATTTTTTTTATATAAGAATAAACATATTTTTAAAATATTATACAAAATGTATTGAGAATTTTATAACAATTAACACTTGGTAGTTTATTTAATTCTTATAGTCTTTAATATATTTAAAATAAGTGAAGTTAACTTACTTCAAATTATAACATTTAAATTAGATCTAATTAAATAATTAACTAAATAAAAATGTTAATTTTAATTAAATAAAGATGTTAGTCATTAAATTATATTTAATGTAAAATTTATAATTTAGAGTAATTTAAAAAAAATCTTGTAGTACATTAAATACCCACTCATTTAAAATTTTACATTTAATTATTTAAAAATCTTTAAAAATTATTAATAAATGACATAATACAAAAGTGTTAAAATGAAATTTACTCTATAAAAAGTAATTAATTTTAATATTAATACAAAATTAATCAAAATTTCAAAATTAAAAGTAATGAGTTATAGACTAGCTAGACCCAAAACTTTTATTTTAATATAATTAATAATAATAGTGAATTAATAACATATTATGTATTATTATAAAAATTTAATTTTATTCATCAAATAAATATATAATAACAAAGAAATTGAGAATAATTTTTTATTATTTACTATTTGATTTCTAAACAGATAAATAGTAGGAGTGTTCTCCTAGAACAAATTTTTTAGAATCTAAAAGTTCTTATCAAAAAAGAAGATCAGAAGGACAGGAGTATCATGAGAGTGAAAGGGTTAGATTCTCAATCAAAGATGAAAATCACATAGAGTCAGTCTGCAAGGAAGACCATTGATTTCTTATAAAGCCATGGTTTTAGGAAAAACTCTTGTTGAACATTTGCTAGACGACACTGAAGAGGTTACACTATCGTTGGGAGAGATGAGGATCAAAGAGCATAAATTCGGAGATTACGAATTTCTGGAATTTATGCTTTCTGATGAGGAAGAAAAAAGAATTACCACACCATGGAGGAAGGGAGTTATTGTTAAGATGACAGGCCGGCGTGTTGGCTTCCGAGCTCTTGAAAATCGTTTGCACCAGATGTGAGCGAAGAACGGAGCTCTGAATATTGTTGATCTAGGGCAAGATTATTATTTGGTCACTTTTATTGGTGAATGGTATGTATCTTATAAATGATCACTACTTATCTGTTAGAGAGTGGAAACCGAATTTCTGTTCCTCAAGTGCTGCCATTTAATAACTTGTCGTTTGGGTCTGTGTTTTCGTTCTTCCTATCGAGTACTATGATGCAAGTGCTGATGGTTATTGGAAACTGGATTGGAAAAACAGACAAGGTTGATAGAAACACTTTAAGCAGAGAAAAAGGAAAGTACGCTCGTCTCTATGTATAAGTTGATCTTACGAAACCTCTGTTTGTGATGTTTGCAATTAAAGGGAGACACTACAAGATCGAATATGAAGGTCTTCACTTACTTTGCTTGACTTGCGGGAGATATGGCCATTTGGAAGACAGTTGCGGTGACCCAAGATTCCAAGGAGTAGCCACTATCGATGGGGAGAAGATCAATGAAATCATGGCAAGGGGAGCAACAGTCAATGAGGCACAAATTGATGGTCCTTGGATTGCGGTCCAAAAGCCCAGACAACAAAGAAGAGGGAAGGAATTTGTCATAACTTTCGGAAATGGAGGGCGGGAGATCAAAAAACGGGATCCCGTTTTATGATGTTTAATGATGGAGAAACAAGTATGGTAAGGGAGGACAGTAAGAGACATATTACCATAAATAATGTTGAGAACTTTACTGAGGAAAATGAAGTGGATATTATTGAGGAGGAAATTAAGGAGGGAGATAATTTACAAGTTTCAAACCAACCAATAAGAGAGAAGTAAAGTAAAAAGAGCAAAGTTACTAAGAGGAAAAATAAAAATAACACAAAGTCAAAGAGGAAAATTCAAATAGGAACACGTGGAATTCAAAAGGAAAAAAGAGGTGTCGAAATCTATGGGAAGCATAATGAGAAATACGAGAAATTATTTGAGAATAACAAAATTCTTGATCATGCGGAAAATGTTGGTTTCGGTGATCTGCATGCAAAGGGTCCCCTTCAATCCAAAGAAACCAATGGGCCTGACCTGAGATTCAACCACTTATTGAACTCTCTAGACCTAAAAGAACTTAGAGCTCAAGGCTCAGTGGAGGGAGGCACTCTTTTAACTGTGTTAGAAACTTCTGAGGAAACCAAGATTAGTGAAGAGGTTGTAGAAGGAGTGTCGAAGAATGTTGTTATTCAAATTTAAGATTCGCTTCCAAACACAAGCTCAGAGAACAATGACTCGGACATCGATGTTGTGGAGGAAACTCTAATTGTAGGGCAATGAATTGGAGATCTTCTCTAAACTATTTTTATGGTTGATACAAACTTCAAACTTTTGCTTTGGAACTGCAAAGCACAACAAGTAAAGTCTTTTCTCGTGTTTGTAGGCAATACATGAAGACGATGCATCTTGACATTTTTGTTATTATTGAAACTACAACAACTTCAGATAAATTGATCCCTTCTTTAAGGCTATGTTTGAGAGTTTGGAGAGGAGGGGAAGGGAGGAGAAGACTTCCAAAAATATATTTTTTTAAATATAATTTTTTTTTAATATTTTTAAAAAATAAAAATGTTGTTCAAAATGATACAATAATATTTATCATTAATGTATTTTTAGTTTTTGAAATACTATAACAATAAAAATTATATTTTAACAATTTGATTAAGTTCTCCAAAATCCTCCAAATCACTGCTCCAATACAAATTTTGAATTTATTAAATTAGAAAGTTTTTGGTGTTATGAAAAAAAACAAACCCTCAAAAATCCTCTTAAACAAAATCGTTTTACTCTTTTCACCGGATTCTTCCTATTTTCTAAAGCCCGTCCCTCATTTCCCTTCCAAACTCCCAAAGCCTAAAACGATTAGGGTTTGATGAATTTGCAGCGTCCGAAGCTATTGGTTTCTTAGGGGGAATAGTTATGGCATGGAAGACTGCCAAGGTGAATGTTAATGTTCTTTCCATTTATTTCCAATTCATGCACGTCAATTTGAATTTTGGTAATGGTGAAGAGTTTTTCTTTACTCCCGTTTACGCTAGCCCAAGGGAAGATGGGAGAAGAGAATTATGGAACAAGCTGCATCAATTGTCCCAGAGCATGAACAAGGTGGAGATTTCAATGACATTTTAAGTGCATCTGATAAAAGGGGAGGAGCCAAAGATTCGGAGAAGAAACGCGATGTGTTCAGGGAGAGGATTGAGTCTTGTAATCTGATGGATTTGGGATCTTCAGCGCACCGTTACACTTGGAGGGGTCCCATCTATCAGGGAGGTGTTGGTATCTATGAGAGACTTGACAGAGCAATGAGCAACGACATCTGGAGACTTCAATTTCCTAATGCTTCTGTCAAAGTCCTCACGAGGATGGAATTCTCCGACCACCATCCTATCCTTATTTCGCTCAAGGATGAAAACAACACTCGGGAGGCTAAGAGGTTCCATTTGAGAGTGCTTGGCTTCTTGAGGAGAATTACGACACTTGGATGAAAGAGAAGTGGAAGAATGATTGTGACGGGTAACAAATTTGGAACAACTCAAATCTTAATTTGTCAACTGGAAATGTCTGAATGTGCCTGATACTCAAAAGCAAATAAAGATCTTGCTGGGGAGAGTTAGAGGCATTCAAAGAGCTTATCATGAAGGAAGGGGGCATGATGGTCTTGATGCTCTTGAGGATAAGCTGCAAAAAGAACTATCAAAGATTCTCCAACAAGGTCAACAACTTTGGTTTCAAAGATCTCGGACGAGATGGATTGTTGATGGGGATAGGAACACGTGTTACTACCACATCAAGGCTGTCTAGCGCAGGAGAAGGAACAAAATTATGATGATCAAGAATTATGCAGGGGTTGGGTTGACGATGTTATGCATGTTCGAAGCTTGTTTCAAAATTTCTACAATAATTTATACACTACTGATACAGGAATTAGCAACTGCCAGAGTACCTTATTTTCCTTCCCCAAGCTTAATGCTTACGATATCAACAAGCTACAAGAGGATATTTGTCCCAATGAAGTCACAATTGCTCTCTTCCAAATGAGTCCTTGGAAAGCCCCCGGTCTGGATGGTTATCGAGCTGGCTTTTTCCAAAAATCTTAGGATACTATAGGCAATAGTGTTTTTGACAATATTCTGGATTTGTGAAACAATCCTAACAAGATTAGGATGGTGAATCAAATCGAAATTTGTCTCATTCCGAAGATTAATAATCCAACTGGTGTGCATCAATTTCGTCCAATCTCGCTTTGCAACACCATGTACAAGATCATTAGCAAAATTAATGTGAATATATTGTGGGTCCTTACCAAACAGGAATTATTCCAGGCAGGAATATACAAGAAAATATTGTTGTGGCTCAGGAAATGATTCGTAGCATAAACAGATTAAAGGGTAAGGAATGCTTCTTTGTTGTGAAAGTTGATCTAGCTAAGGCTTATGACAAGCCTAGTTGGAGTTTTGTTCACAAGGTCCTAGAGGAGATAGGCATTCCTGACAGATTAATAATGATTACTATGGAGTCTATAACCTCTGCCAGTATGTGTATCAAGTGGAATGGCCAGAGGTCTAATTACTTCGAGCCCAAGAAAGGTTTACGTCAAGGTGATCCAATGTCGCCGTATTTGTTTGTTCTTTGTCTGGAGAAGTTGTCCCATATAATCTGTGAAGTTGTGGATAGAGGGAACTGGATAGGTCTGAAAGCAGACAGGAAAGGCCCAGTGATATCTCATCTTATGTTTGCGGACGACTAGATTCTCATTGGCAAAGCAACTAGAGCTCAAATGGATTGTGTGAATGCGATTCTCAATGCCTTTTGTCAAATGTCAGGACAACATTTTAGTGTTGATAAAACCAGAATTTTGTTTTCTAAGAATACTCTGATGCATATTAAGAAGGAACTGATCCACTTGTCTGGCTTCAAGGAAACCAGTGATTTAGGGAAGTACTTGGGCATACCTTTAATAGGCAAAGATCTCAGGGCCAAAGACTTCAACTACCTCCTAGAGAATATCAAAACCAAGCTCACTAATTGGAGGGCTACGAATCTGTCCTTTGCTGGTCGTGTCGCTTTAGCTAAGTCTGTTATTGAAGATATACCTATGTATTCAATGATGTCTTGTGCTTTGCCTAAGGAAAGTCTTAATGACATTCAGAGATTGCAGAGGAATTTTGTTTGGGGTGACATTGTTGAGGTTAAACGCGTGCATAATGTAAAGTGGAGTACCCTTGCGACACCTAAAATGATCGGGGTCTAGGTTTAAAAAATATAGCAGTTACCAATGAAGAGTGTTTATTAAAGCTTAGCTGGAAACTCATGAGTGGTGACAACAGCTTATGGTGCAATGTTCTTAGAAGAAAATATGGCAGAGGAAATGTAGACATGAACCATGTGATTATCAAGAACTCTGACTCGAGTTTCTGGAAAATTTGGGCAAAATTGGGATTTCCTGCAGCAAGACTCCAACTGGGATATCGGAAATGGTGAGAGTGTGGATGTTTGGCATGATGTGTGGCTCCCTTCAGGAGCAATTGCAAATACTATAGCAACTACGCATGACGATTTTCCCGCTATCAAAGTTGCCGACTTGATCATGAGCAATGGAGATTGGAACATTGGGTTTCTTTCTAATTTAGTTCCTCAACATGACATTGATGAGATTGTGGCTATTCACCTGCCTCGGTATAGTAATGGTGACGATATCCGTTTGTGGAAAGAAATTAAACAAAGAGATTTTTTGTTGCTGGTGCTTATCGACTTCTCAGCCCCAACAGTTGTGATCACAATGAGAACATAATTTGGAAGGTTATTTAGTCCCTAGAGTGTCCAGAGCGCATTAGAGCCTTTATTTGGTTGTTGAATCACAATAGTCTCTTGACCAAACTTTGCCTCAGCAAGATGCAGCTTGGAGATTCTCTTTGTTCAAAATGCTCTTTTGAAACTGAAAGTGCCTTACATGCTTTGAGAGATTGTGTTGCGGTAAAAAATGTTTGGCTCTCTTTAGTTAGAGATGCATGTTGGTTTTCCTTTTTTCTCTACAGGTTTACAGGAGTGGATTCAAATAAGCCTTTGCAATAATTTCGGTTATGGAACCATGGAGGAGTGGAAGTCCTTGTGGGATACGATGTGTCACTCTCTTTAGTTCTGGCGCAACAAGAAGATGCATGACGATAACTTCGTGATGCCTCTTGATTTGGGGAAAGAAATCTGTGATAGGACAAGATTTCCACAAGTCTTAAGCTGCAGCAAAGAACCAATATCTCTAACAAGTCCCTCGTCTACATCAAATGAGAGCCTTCTGCAGAGGATAGGATCGTAATTAACGTTGATGGAGTCTCCAAATTAAATGGTTTAGCTGGTTGTGATGACTTGTGCCGCAATTCTAGAGGAAGCTGGTTGAGAGGTTTCTCCAAAAATATTGGTCGGTGTGACAGTTTTAGCGCTGAGTTTTGGAGAGTCCTTGAGGGGTTAAACTTTGCTTTGGATAAGGGTTACAACAAGTTCGAGCTTCAAACTGATAACAAGGTTGTGGTGGATCTCGTCAATGCGAGGAAGCCTTATACTAGTGAAGGAAGTGGCATCTTAAAGTAGATCAAAGATAGGTTGAATCTCGATTGGGATGTGCGAGTTAAGCATGTTCATCGAGAGGCTAATGGTTTTGCGGACACGTTGGCAAACATTAGTCTTAGGAATGGGCTAGGATTACAAAATTATGATCAATGCCCTCTAGAGTTAGTTGCTTATCTCGAGTTGGATGTGTATGGTATTTGTGTTCCAAGGATGATTCAGTTTTAGTTTTCTTGTTTCGGGCTTCGGCCCTCCCAATTCCCAAAAAAAGAGTGATTAGAGAATGAATGAGGAACTTAAATCAATCAATATTTTGATTTAAAATGAAATTTTTTATTATAGTTTTTGTAAATTAAATGTAAAATCCGATCCAATCTTACGAGTCATCTAAACCTCTTATTTTCTGATTTTTGATTGATTTTCTGTTTTAAATCTCAATTCTTCTGCATATCAATTTTTAGATCTAAATAGACCAATTAAGATTCTGGTTCTCGATCCAGGTTGAATTAGCTGATATAATTTATCAAAACTGTTATCCTAAGTGGGCTTTATGGCACATAATAGTATAGATTTATAGTAACTATCTGCATCCTCCCTTGTTGTGTGTTTCTTATAACGTGAGATAGCTACATCACACTTTCAATGCTTTTCCCTTTATGCATCATCCCTTGTTGTGTGTTTCTTATAACGTGAGATAGCTACATCACACTTTCAATGTTTTTCCTTTATTTTGTAGTTTTCCTGATCTTATCTTTGAGTTAGTTAGAAAATGATGTAAGAGAAGTGTGACTATCCCCTTATATAAAGGATCCTATGTACCTTCCAATCATTAATGTACCTTCCAATCATTAATTAATGGAGAATAACTTTTAGATCTCATTTATATTTCAGTTTTTCTCCCTTTTGTTACTTAATATAATTCAATTTTAATTACCATTGTTCCAAATGTCAAGTTGGTCTCCCTCATGGTATTGAAAACCTCAAAGATGGAACTTCCTCAAAAGTTCTTGGTAGAATCAGCCATCGAATAATTGATGATCCAAGATTCGATTCACTGTTACAGCTCCAACTACTTTTCCAACTGTGCCTATCATTTTATCATGAAGTATATACGTCATGATGGTTTAGTTTCTGATACACAGAAGTATTGAGTACTCGTGGGTTGGTGAGATCCTTCAATGTAAATGAGCCCTTAGCCCAAAAAATTCTCTTAAATTTGTATTTAATAAATAATTTCAAAATATATTTATAAAAAAACATAATTAAGTAAATTAATTTATTCAATAAAAAATATTAAATAATAAATTATTCTAATCATCTTTTGCAATTCATAGTTAAAAAACTTTAAAATAGAGTGATAAAAAATGTATTTAAATCTATTTAAAACTTTAAAATAAGGGGATCAATAGTGTATTTAAACCTATTTTTTATGAATGACTTGTTAGGATAACATTCAGACTACCATCTCTCTGTGTTTATTTTTAAAACGGAGAGATTAAGTTAAAAAACTTCAAAATAAAGAGATTAAAATTGCATTTAAATCTATTTTTTATGAATGACTTGTTAGACCAACATATAACTACCTAATTTCTCTCCGTGTCTATGTGATGGATAGATATAAAAATAGAAGTCCATTAGGATTTGATTGATTTTCTCAATCAGAGATCCTAAGTGACTTATGTCTCTTCCTTTAGTGTTGTTCAGTTAGAAATTAATAGACAATTAATTCTTATGAGTGTGTTTAAATATGATAAAGTTAAAGAGGATAAAAGTATCTTATAGATAAAAGTGGAAGTTGCCTTTAAAATTGTCTGAAGGAAATCTTAATCAGTTTTTGCACTAAACATCTACTAGTGGAAATTGCCTTTAAAATTGTCCGAAGGAAATCTTGGTCAGTTTTTGCACTAAACATCCACCAATGGAAGTTGCCTTTAAAACTGTCTGAAGAAAATCTTGGTCAGTTTTTGCACTAAACATCCACCAGTGGAAGTAGCCTTTAAATTTGTCTCAAGCTACTGAAAGTTTGAATTTGAAATTCAAAATGAAGTGGTGCATTGTATTATTATAGGTGAACCATTGCAAATATATGTTGAAAATGTGTTATTTTATCAAGAGTTGCAAACTTATGAAACAACAAATGCATGACTTATAAATACATAATTCTGAATTCAAAAATCATTCAGTCATAAATCATAAATCCTCTTAAATATTCCAGACACTTTTCCTTATATTCGAGTTCTTCACCAATCTTGTGCAGACTCGATTCAAAGGCCGAATTATCTTGAATATTCTAACTCTAAGACATTTTGAGAGTGCTTGAAATACTTATAAGAAAAATAATTTTGTTCACGATTCTATCATCGATCCATTTAACTTAAATTAATTTTTCTAATAGGTTCTACTTTCTCTTGAAGTCCTAATATATATATATATATATATATATATATATATATATATATATATATATATATATATATATATATATATATATATATATATATATATATATATATATATATATATATATATATATATATATATATATATATATATATATATAAAGGTAATCAAATATAGTGATCAGCTCAAATAAATTAATAAGTGATATATTTTCATTTATTTGCAGTAGAAAATTATTCCATTCCATAGCAATGATATGTCTAAAAGAAATACACAGAGGTCAACAAAGTTATCAGTTATTGATACCAATTGACTTTCTGGAAAAAAAACTACTGAAGGTGAAACATAAAGAGATATCCACCTGTTGAGTTGGAAGATGCTTCTGTGATTACAACCGATCTTCTAAGCAAAAGTAATGGTGGCTCTTTACCAAGGATGGTTGAAGCTAAGATTCTGATATATGGTAGAAAGAAAACTCATAGTTGCATTGGTGTATCTAACGGTGGAGTCTCCGTTAAAAAAGAACCACATGATAATCGGATGGTCGAAAGCAAGAAAAAGCAACACACATGCGAGTTTGATGATAGTCAACTGAAGAGGATCATAAAGCATCAGTTAAAGCGGAGAGTAAGATCAGACGATTCTAATCATGCCACTGTTCCTACTAAAAGAAAGAGATTGACTGCTTGTGCCAAGGACCAAATAAAGTAGGAAGTTCTAGGTTTCTATATGCCACCCAAAATGTTTATGATTTAGTTAGTCATCAGCAGAATGAAAGTTCAAGTTCGTTATCAAAATACAGAGGTGTGGAAGAAAATAATGAAAAAAGTTGTGGCAATGACAGTTTTCAATGCATGAGTTTTTCTTGTGTTGAAATTGAGAAATATGAGTCTTTCCTACATAAGGAGCTCTTCATACATAAAATTTTCCAAAAGAGAAAAGATGGGTCTCACTAAACTTCAAATGAATGAATGAAATGAAAATGTATTGGAAATATAATTTAGTTATTATCTATAATTTTCAATCTTTATCTTTAATAGGATTTTTTGACATTTTTAATATTTAGTATAAATATGTTATACTAGCTATTAATATTGTATTCCTATTCTATCTGCTCTATTTTATAATACAACAATAGTTTTGTTATCATTTTTGTTCATTCTTCTTCTCCCACTTTATTACCTTGCACCAACAAATTGGTATCTAAAGCACTAGATTCTATTTTTTCTGGAAAACACGAGTGATTGTGAGTTGTGTGTTTGATTTTGGTTCACTGATTTTCTGTTGAAATCTTAAACAAAATCTGAGTAGAATCTGATTCTGTGGGTTGAGAAACAGTGTGTGTGAAGTTCTGAAAAATATGTGCAAGGTTTAAAATGAGTGGAGGTAGTAGTTTGAACACCAAACTCCCAGTCTTTAATGGAAAAAACTGGAACATATGGATGATTCAAATGCGTGTGCTGTTTGGTGCGCAAGATGTTCTGGATCGGGTTACAGATGGTTATGTACCAGCTGCAGCAGATGCAACTGAAGAATAGAGAACTGTTGAGAGGGTGATGAGGAAGAGGGATCAGAAAGCTCTGTTATATATCCATCAGTGTGTGGATGAAAGTGTGTTCAAGAAGATTGTTGATTCAACAACGTCAAAAAAGGCGTGGGATTTATTGGTGAAATGTTAATGTTACGGTGGTGATGCATCAGTAAAGAAGGTAAAGCTTCAATCTCTGCGAAAGCAATATGAGAACTTGAACATGAAGAGCTGTGAGAAAGTTTCTGAATATATCTTCAGAGTGATTTTGATCACTAACGAGATGAAGGCGTGTGGAGAAA